CCCGCTGCCCCCCACCTCCCACTCCTCTTCTCCCTCCTCTCCAGCCCAAATCCCCGAAAAGAAATGGGAGGGAGCTACAGGGGACGCGTGCTTGGCTCCGGCACATCGGGAATGAAAGGAATTGCGGGAGAACCCTGGAGCCCACAGAGTTTCAAGGAGCTTCTGTATTCAATAAAAACAGCTACTTGTCTGCTTGCACCGGTCTGTGAGCCTCCCGCTCGTCGCCGGGGGAGGGGAGGAGCCAGCGTCGAGCGGCCACACCGCTGGAGTCCCGGGCTGCCAGCCTGCCTGGATCCTAACCCGCTGCAAAAACCGGCATCGTAGGGCAGACGTGCAACCAGCGGACGCCTTGCTCTGCCTACTTGGAAAAGTATTTTCAATCTCCCTTACTAGTGTTGTTGTGCTTTTTGTTTTGGGGGCAGTTTTGGGTTTAAAAAAAAAAATTGTTTAAAGGACAAAGTTAATATGGAGGGATTCCAGAGAGCAAAAGACTCGGAATTTGTAGGGAAGCCCATCCTAGAGATCAGAAACCAACAGGTTTCTTTCTTAATTCAGGGACAATGGGAGTAGAAATATATTAAATGGGAGTTGACATTAAGGAGTAATTTAATTTTCCAGCTGATTCTGTCCCAAGCCATGACGGGGAGGGGGTGAAATTGGTCAGAAGCAGCAAGGAAAGCAGCTCTCTGGAGATCTCAAAATGTGTTGTCCACACCTCCTTACAAAGAACCTGAGCATGGCCCTTAGCCTAAGGTCACTCTATAACAAAAGTTATAAATTTGAGTTAATTTTTCAATTTCCTTTCTACTTTTTCATTCTCAGAAAAATAAATTTTAAGCTGGAATACATTGTGTAGTCATTTCTTTTTTCCTATTGGTTCCACTTTTTTTCTTACTAATTCCCGAGAAATCTTTCTCATATATATTCTGGAATATTGCCCTACAAGGTTCCAGCATACAGTAAGCACTCAATAGAGATGGATTTCATGAATGAACATTATTTCATTGTTGATGAAGACTGGAAGTCTTGACTAAGGGTCCATGTTTACTAACCAAAATATTTAAATGCTGATCTTAATCAATAAATATATTCAGTTCATAGTTGGCGCTAATTTTTAGGAAGCCAACTTTCTGTGTCACCAAAATATGCCTCATAACCTGCTGTTTTATATATTGTCCTCTTCATGTGTTTAAAGGTCGAGAGGAAGGTGTTCAGAGATTCAGGTTGGGCTGCAAGTAGAAATTTCATTAACAGCATGTATAAAACTTGACTCATGACTGAGTCTCCACTGGGTTTTAAAGTTATAAATCTTTATGGGAGGAGACTATCGTTCTCCCTCAGGGAGGATTTGAACCACCTACCTTTCCAATGGGCAATCAATTCCTTGTGATTAACTGCCTCTGGAAATCCACCCAAAGGCCAGTTATTAGTGCATTCTGACTTAAAGGCAAACAACCACCTTTCATTCAGCAGTCCAACAACTATACAACCAGGACTTCTTACAGTATGGATAGAAGTATATGAAATAGGAAAAATAGTTATGAAATATTTTCAACACAAATATTACTGTTTGTGGTAACTACTTTCCTTTGTCAAAATATTTTCTCTCTCAGATCCAAAGTAAAAGACTATGTGCTATATATAATGCTGATGCTGCTAGCAGAAAGTCTGGGATACCATTTAATCTGCAGAGAAAATATCACCAAGTCCCTTGTCAGATTGTTTTAATATCCAGTTATTAACATAATTTAATAACATGTAAAATCATGAAATAAATTCAAAGTTTAGAAATACCTATTTATGGAGCTGTCAGAATCCTAAATCAATGCAATAGCTACCTAGAGCTACAAGGCTTGCCGAAACATGTAGAAATGGAGTTCCAAATTGCTTCTCAATAGCTCTCCTGATTTATTGAACGTCCCATGGCTTACTCCGATCTAGAAGGTGAGAAACGATGCAGTCAGTTTAGCAGGCCCCACCTTTAGTCCCATCTCAGTCCTTTTCACTGCTGTGAAAGAGTCCTTTCAGACAAAGTATCTTGGGTGAATACCGTTATTACTACCTTATGCTCTCTGTACTCTGTGGTCTGAATTCCTCTGGCCACTGCCCAGCTAGGCATAACCTAGGTCTGAATTAATGGCCCTGGAAAAAAAACATAGTAGATTCATAGTGAGGAATAATTATGTCAAACCTCTCTGGCCTGTAGTTTGCTGCCAGATCTAAACCTTCCCAGGAACTTGCCTGTGAGTTTATAAGAAACTAAAAGGAAACACAAAAGCAGCAAAGAAAACAGAGGGAAGCAGAAAGACATCTACCTTCACTCCTTTAAACTGCACACTGGGGTTCTTCCAGTGGAACTGTTTGCTGGGCCACCTTTCAGCCAGGCCTTGCTAATTGTTTGTGCATAGATTCAAAATGTAATAGAATATGACGGTTTGGCCTGAGACAGGTCTTTATTTTGAAGCACAATTAGAGATATGACATTTCCTATTTTGTCACATTAAAAAGCAATGTTGAAATATTTGTTCAACTTTGTAGAATTAGTTCCCATTGCAAGGTAAGAAGAAAATATTTTTTAAAATTACTTAATTGGGTAGAAAATACTTCAAACTGACAGTTGTCTATATTGACTTATCTGTGAAATTTAGATGGTAATCTTTTATTTGAAGAAGAGGCAAAAATTAGGAAACCTTATCATCTTAACCAAATTTCAGAAAGGATGGAGATTTATTAAGTATTCTAAAAAGCTCACTAATCCTTACTTTCTTCTCAAACCTCTAGGAATCAAGAAACCTTGATTTTGAACCAATGTTTTAAATGTTGTTCTCTCAACTCAGTTTGCCACCAAACAGACTCATAGCTAACTCTCCAATAGATTTCTGAAGGAGATTACTAATCTCCTTCCGTTGGTGATCTGGAGAATCTCTGGTAGATTAAAATCTACCAGAAAATGATGACCTTTGGATTAGCTGTGCAACTCCCTATGGGCTAGACCACTGGAACCCCCTTCCAAATATTGAGACCTCAATAATCATGCTGCAACTGAAGACACCCCATAGCTGAATAAGTGTAATATACACATTAGAACATTAGGTAGTGAAAGGTTTAATTAAAAAACAACCATAACAACAACAAAAAAAAAACCCACCATACACAACTACAAGTGAAAATTAGGGAAAGAGAAAATTCATTAGATTGTAAGAGTTTGGAAATGACATGTTAAAAACAAAACAACAAAAAAAACCCCACTTGGTATTCACTCCTTACTGCTGTACTGTAGGTAAGAGTTGTGCGGTTGGTCAACAATTTGAACACACTAGTCACTTCATGGAAGAAAGATAAGACTGCCTTTTCATTTTAAGATTGACAACTTAGGAAACTGGCTAGAGGATTGTCATTAATCATAATGGACTCAACAGTGGTGGGTTTTCTGGAGTTTATGTATTTTAGACATTTATTGTAATTAAAACTAATATCAAATTGTTGGAGCCAGGGTAGTTACCCCAAAGACTCTCTGACAGGTCAGATCTACCTGTCATTCCACCTGAAAAAGATGGACAATCTCCTCCCGTGGGATTTACAGCCTCAGAAACCCAATGGAAGATGAGTTATAAGTAGGTTATGACTTAATGCCAATGTGTTAAATTGAACTGAGCTGATCAAATCGTTATCATTGTTCTGTGATATTAAGTTGTCAAACTTTATGCACATCAGAATAACACACTACCCAAAACCTTCCTCAGAATCTCTACTGTGATTGAGCTCAGTGGTGCAACCACTGTCTTAATTCATACCCTTAAAAGTACTTCCTCTTTTACTCAGATCTTCCACTTTATCAAGCATAATGAATACCCTTCTCCATGATAACATACCCAAAGGACGTGAGACAGTCTTAACATCCTCACATGTAAGGACCATTCTGAAAATGAGAGTCACAGAATACGAAGATTTATTTTAAAATGAATTTAAAACAATTTTTAAAGTTTTACACACAGAGTAATACATTTAAAATGAAATTGCTTTTGAATGTAATCCCTCTCTTACTGTGCTTACTGGTCTGCCCATTTCTGAACTTTAGGTAAATTATTTTAAGAAAGAAATGACTAAGCAGTTTGACATTAATTTTACAGTTTTTCTAATACATGAGAGGCTCAAGATTAGTCTCTGTTTAAAAGTTGACTTGGTCCTTCCTACCACATAGACGAGTCTTTGTATTGTGGGAAGTGGGGGAGGGCTAGGGACTAGGAAGTTTATTTCCATAGTCTAGCCTAGCTCAGAAGAACCCCACAGTGATGATAGGGTATGTTTTGGCACTTTTATTCTGAAATAACTTACAGAACTTCAGAGGAATCTGAATTTAGCTCAATTTCCATGATACAATAGAATGAACTGTGTGGTCTGTCACTGGGTTGAAGGAGCCAATTCAGAGACGTCAAATGCAACCTTCAAGAAATGACTTGAAGTAAAATATAAATAAAATCCAAGTAAACAAGGAATATGGCCGTCGAGAGTCTTATACATCTCTCTTAAAAATAGCCTTAGCTCATTATATATTCACAGGAAACTATCACAATTTCTTTTCATCATAGGCCAAAGAAGTCTAGTGGCCTAGTGGTAAGGAATTATACTGTCAATGCAAAGGCATACAGCTTGAATCCAACAACTGCACCATGGGAGAAAGATGGGCAAACAATTTGCATGTGATTTACTGCCTCTGAAAAACAGCTGGAGGATTAGATAGAAGTTGATTCTGAATCTACAGTACCCAACAACAATATATCTACAAAGAGATTG